CAAAATGAGAGCGAACATGATATGCTCGTAAAGGCTCAAATCTCACCAAATTGTTTTCATGTATTGAGCTAATCACATTTCAACCAACAAAAATCATGGAATATCACAAAAATACCAACTTATCACAATCCATGCTATCCATTATCAAGAATATCATAACCTAAATAATCCTGTGTTCCCAAACAAGCATAGCATTCCAAAAATTTTTACTAAGACAAAGACAATCAATGAAATTTCTGACCAATTCAACCAACACATACTAGATTCAAAGCATAAAGATAAGCGAAAGGAAACTCAATCCTACACTCTACTCCCCCTCACTTAAAGCGTTTTGCCTCAAAACGAAAAATTAAAGTGCAAGAGAAAGAACAGAGAACTCCCCGGATTTAATGTCGACCGCGGCCATGGTGGGAGGTACTGGAAACATCATGTTGTCAGTGGAAAACCAGCATCTACATCCCCCGATTGTGCGTACCATTGTGAGTGGAGAGGTTGAAAACACGTTAGCAAGGGCGATGGTGAGGAGAGGAAGAAAGGATGATGGTCTCGTGCTTTTTGGGGAATGAGCGATCGGGTTTGAGAAGATGAAGATTGTTGGAATTTTGGTTGAATTTGGTTTAAAATTGGTTCTTGTCGTGGGGTTGTAGAGTTGGGAGTAAATGAGGACTTTTGGTTTTTCTGTAATTTAAAAAAATGTATACTTAAAAATTGAAAAGGTGATTGAAAACGATAAGGTGGGGTTCATGGTCAAAGTAAGATAAAAAAGGGAAGGGGATAAGGTGGGCGGCAGAAGATAACAAAAAGGGGGAAAGAAAGAAAAATGGGGTTTGCTAACGTGCGCCGGCCCCTCTATGGGTTTTGCTAACGTACGTCGTTTAGTTAAACGGTGCGCACGACTTGAGGCTCTTTTTTTCTGCTCAATTCGATCGTGTACTGCTCAATGGACTCTGAAATTAACACTGTTCAAATCATAATTCCGTAATTTCTCGCCGTTTAAGTTTGAAAAAATATTCGGTTCCTGCAAAATAAAAATTAAATTAAACATGCTTGAATGAATAAAAATAAAAAGTAAAAATATAGCGGAATTGAAAACAATGGGTTGCCTCCCATGAAGCGCTTTTGTTTAACGTCATTAGCTCGACGACCTAATTCAGTCTACAGGTTCCGTGACAGACACTTCCACTTCATTCGCTTTTTCCAACTAAGAAATTCCTTATGAGAAATTTGAAAATTCTCACAAAGATTTCTTCGGATATTTCCCAATTTTAAAAATCTTGTCCAGAAGAATAGCCGTCAAAACATCTTTTTTACCAAAAAATGATTTCTTCAAACGACTCCTTGATGATTTCGACTTAATTTTTTATGCCTGCAAAAAGGAATGTAAATCTTTAGTTTTTAAAGGAGTTGAGATCAAATTTGAATCAACAACTGAAATACTTTTCAACTCCCTTATGTCGTCTTTTTTATCATCCGATTCCTTGCATAAATCATCAACAAAGTTAGATTCATCATCAACAAGTTCAAAAATGCCAACAAAATTAATACTATGAATGTTATCCGGATATCTCATTGCTTTATAAACATCAAATTTTAAGATCTCGCCGTCAAACTCCATAGTAAGAATACTGCTTCGAACATCAATTTTTGCATTTGCCGTGCTCAGAAAAGGACGACTGAGGAGGATTTCAGAACCAATGTTGCTACGATCATTTTCCATATCAATCACATAAAAATCAGCAGGGAAAATTTAGTTTTCTACCTCCACTAGAACATTTTCTATGAGTCCTTCAGGATAAATAATTGATTTGTCGGCTAGCTGAAGTGTAACTCTCGTCTCTTTCAAAGGCTTGGTGGAAATTAAATTATAGACGGAGAGAGGCATTACATTGATAGATGCACCTAGATCGCACATAGCTCGCTTGATTTTAACCTCACCAATTTTACAAGGTATTGAAAACATACCTTGGTCTTTATACTTCGGTGGAAGCGGTCGTTGGAAAACTGCTGAGACGTTCGCACCTAAATCCACTTTCTCGACCCCGGTAAGCTTCCTTTTAGTCATACAGAGATCCTTCAGAAACCGACAATACCTTGGAACTTTTCAGATAACTTCGAGGAGAGGTATGTTAACTTCCACCTTCCGAAGTACGTCTAATATTTCCTTTTCCTCAGCTTTTTTATCCTTTTTAACTAACCTTGATGGAAAAGGTGGTGGCACGTCGTAGGGAGATGGCTTCGGATCGTCCAATTGTTCTTCTTCATTCTTATTCTGGGATCCTGCGTCATTGGTCTTCTTTTCTTTTTGGACTGCTTGGTCCGATGGGATAGGTGGCGCTACTACTGTACCACTCCGAAGGGTGATGGCGCTAACGTTTTCCCTCTGATTCACTTCAGTTTGAGACGAAAGTTTACCTTGTGACTCTAATCTCCCAACGGTTTGAGCCAGTTGGCTCAATTGCTTGTCCATCTCTTGGAAGTGGGCTTCAGTTCGGGTCTGGAATTTCTCCTGGGATAGTGCTAACCTTTCGACAATCGATTCTAGTGATGTCTTCTGTGGCTGTTGTTGTGGTGGAGGTCTCGCTTGATAGCTTTGATTCGGTCTCGGGTTCTGCGCATAACTGAAGTTCGGGTGATCCCTCCATGCTGGGTTGTATGTATTATCGTCTTGAATCAGTGGACAACCGTCTGTTGGATGATCAGGCAATGCACATATTCCACATACTCGGTTTTGTCCTATCTTTCCTGCAACAAGAGAGTTTACGACTTCATTTAACTTATCTATTTTACTTTCCAATGAAGATGAACTTATCTCATGAACCCTTCGAGAAGGTTCATTATTTGCGCGGAACTGTTGGGAATTTGCAGCCATCGTCGATATTAAGTCTTTAGCCTCGGTAGGAGTCATATTCACCAAGGCTCCACCGCTAGCAGCATCTATCATCTTCATTTCCAGGGGAGATAATCTTTCATAGAAGTATTGAATGAGTGTTTGTTCGGTTAGCCCATGTTATGGGCAACTATAACACAACTTCTTAAACCGCTCCCAGTAGTCGTAGAGCGACTCTCCATCAAGTTGCTTGATTCCAAGTATTCTCCTTCGTAGTTCACTTACTTTTGCTGCAGGGAAAAACCTGTCAAGAAAAAGACGAGTCATATTAGCCCATGTAGTAACAGAATTAGGAGGAAGATAAAATAACCACTCCTTAGTCGAGTCGGCTAAGGAAAAAGGGAAAGCTCTAAGTTTTATTTGGTCCTCGGTTACTCCCTATGGTGTCATGCTAGAGCAGACCATGTGAAATTCTTTGAGATGTTTGTGTGGATCCTCGTTTGACAATCCGCGGAATGTAGGGAGGAGATGAATAAGGCCAGTTTTCAACTGGTATGGAGTTTCGCCTTGGGGAAAATTAAAGCACACAGGTCCTTGTTCAGTGGGTGTCGCGGCTAGCTCCCGAATAGTAGGTTCGGCCATCGGATTTGTATTACCTGAATTTGATCTTTCTTCTGGATCTAATTGTTGTCTCCTTCTTTCCCGAAGTGTCTGTGCGTGGAGTCTCTTAGCTTCAGCTTCGATCTCCGGGTTGTACTCCACTAATGTGCCCGGATTAGTCCTGGTCTAAATCAAAAACAAACAACAATAACTTTGGCGAAGTCCCCGGCAACGGCGCCAATTTGACAACTGTCGTTTCGGATGTCAAAATTCCTTATTCTCAATCAATAAATTAAGGAAATGCGTAGCAAGGAGAAGTAAGGGTCGATTCCACAGGGACTTAGAAAATTATAAATTTCTGTCTGAATTATTTATGCCAGGCGTGAAACAGTAAAAATGGGGAAATTTTAGTAAAAGATGATAAAGTGATTAAATAAAAGTAATTAAAGTAAAAATAAGAAGATGAAGATTGTGAATAAATACGGTAAAGTAGCCTCAAGCTTCGCTTTGATTCAATTTCCTTTAGATCATCGAATAAGATTTTCTCTTCGGGATTCACGTCGGTTACTTTGTCTACAAGGGCTATCCTTGTGACTCTATCTTGTATACCGAATACCCAAGGCAATCTTTGATTCCGGCTTCGGTAGTTGATTCTAACAACATCTATTGTCGTAGATCAAATACCGTTTAAGTTCGTGGCGACCGACTCGGATTGTTGTTTCTATAACCGTCAATTCCGATCTCAATTCCCTCTTGGCGAAGCTATCTCGCCAAGTGTGTTCTCAGGAAGTCGAATTGCTTTCTATAAGCCGAATCTTCCTCCCACACGTTTAATCGCAACAACCTCTTGACCAAAGTCAATCTTTGATTTTGAAAACTGTTTTGATTTTTGAAAAATAAGCGCAGAGATTGAGAGAGATATTCCGAAGATATTAAGGGACCGTTTCAATTCTCCCGTTGGAATTGAATCATCGCGACAGCTCTCAGCTTATGAAAAGTTTAGCTAAGCATGACAAAAGTCATACTTAGCATAAAACAAACTTGAAAATAAAAATGAAAAGAACTTGAAAAGTAAAAAGAAAAGCTTTTATAAAAACTAGAGAGAAAAGAAGAATGTATTCTGAATGATGATTTTAGGCTTACCCCAAGTGGGTATTTATAGCCTCTCAAAGCCTAAAGGATAAACAAAGAAAATAATAAAATAATACAAAAGATAATTGTTTTTAAATTTAAATCCAAACTTAAACTAGTCTCCTAATGCAACTCTGCTCGTCAATCTTCCAGAAGGCGTGCAAACGAAGTCTCCTAGAAACCGCCGCTGACTGGACCTTCTAGAAACTGCCATGTCAGACCGCGTCGTGCCCAGAGTCGTGCCCATGTCTCTAGCCGTGACCAAATAAAAAAAAATGCAGAATTCGCCCGTTTTATCATTAATTCTGGAAAGTAATGACCTGCACGAAAATAGACATAACCCAACCAAATCAGCAGCAATAACTTCACAAAATCGAAGAAATAACGAACATATATTAACGATTCTGAACACTCATCAAATCTTCATAAAGACTTCGATCGTATGATTCGAGATAACTGGAACTCAAATCTTTCTCTTCCAGAAACTATAGCCAATTTCACCGTGGCTGCTACTCCTTGGATTAGAGAGGTTTTTGGTATAATTGGTAAAAACAAGAGGCTTTTAATGGCTCGTCTCCGTGGGGTCAATGATGGTTGGATCAATGGCGAACTTGAAGCATGGTTAAACTTGAATACAAATTACTGGAAGAAATTGAAATCATCCTTGATCATGAGGAAAATATTTGGGGGGGGGGGAATACGAATAGACGGGATAAATTTCCATGATAGAAACACGAAAATTTTCCATTCTAAGGTCGTGTGTAAAAGAAGAAAAAACACCATTCGCATGTTTAAGATTGATGGTGAGGAATGGTGCAATGATTTTGTTGCTTTTATGAATGCTGCCTCGGTTTTCTTTGAAAGACTCTTTGATAATGATTCGGTGCCCCACGGAAATTATCCCATTACTAGACTTTTTCCTACCTTATCTGATTCCGATCACAACTTCTTCAATTCCTACATTTCGGATGATGAGATACGGGACGCTCTCTTCTCCATGGCCCCTCTCAAAGCTCTGGGTGTTGATGGTATTCACGCTCAAATTTACCAGAAGAATTAGAGTATTGTTGGGTCGGCGGTTTGCGCCATGATTCGTTCAGTTTTAGTTGGAGCAGATTTGGACCATATTTTCAATCAAACGATCATTGTTTTAATTCCCAAGGCTAATAACACAAACTTTTGCCGATATTCGTCCGATTGCACTATGTTCCGTCCTTTACAAGCTAATCACCAAGACTATTGTTCGTCAGTTACAGCATGTCCTTCCGAAACTCATCGGGCCTTACCAAACCAGTTTCTTGAAGGGTCAGAGAATCTCAGAAAATATCATCATTAATCAAGAAATTATTCATTCCATGCATGCAAAAAAAGGGTTAAAGGTTGGATGGCGATTAAGATCGACCTTCGTAAAGCTTTTGATCGTTTGAGTTGGAACTTTATTGAAGATACTTTATTATATGTTGGTTTACCAAGTGATCTCATTAGGTTAATCTCTCATTGCATCTCAACTTATTCCATTAAGGTTCAATGGAATGGTGATCTAAGTCAAGAGTTTAAACCTCGCAGAGGTATCCGCCAAGGTGATCACCTATCACTATATCTCTTCAATTTAACCATGGAGAGACTAAGTCATCATATTTCTGTTTCTGTTTCTTCTGGACAATGGACATCTTTCTAACTTGCTAGACATGGCCTCCCAATCTCGCATTTATTTTTCGTCGATGACATGATGCTTTACGCTAAGGCTAACATGGTAAATGATGTAAATATTAACTCTATCCTATCGACTTTTGGCTATTACTCAGGTCACATTGTCAACAAGAGCAAAACAAAGATTTTTTTCTCCCCTAATACTTGTCAAGTTGCACGCAATGAGATTTGCAGCCATCTTGGATTTCAAGAAATCACTGATGTGGGAATGTATCTCGAGTTCCCAACTCGCCACATTGGTTCGTCTAAGCCTCTTTTCCAATTTTTGATTGATAAGGTCCAGTAGAAACTTAATGGTTGGTCAGCTAGAAATTTCTCTTTTACTGACCGAATCACTTTGAGAAAATACATTCTTCTGAGTATATCGTCGTATATTATGCAATCATGTAAACTACCTCTTAGTATCTGCGACAGAATCAAGAAGCTTATTCGTCATTTTGTTTGGAGAGGGAGCTGGGATACTAATTGAATCGCCTTGGTCAACTGGTCTTCTCTTTGCCAACCCCTTCAGAACAGTAGAATGGGCATCCGCTGCCTCCGAAATACAAATACCGTTTTTCTCATGAAAATATGTAATGATCTAATTAATACTCCAGATGCATTTTGGTTTCTTCTTCTTCGTGAAAAATACTCTCATTGCCCGTCTTCTATTGCTCATGCTAATAGCTCTCATCTTTGGTGTTTCCTTGTTGTCAGGAACGGAGCCAAAATTAAATATTGATAGAGGCCGAAATATTAGATTATTTAAGAAAAATATAAAGACTTATTAGGTATTTAAACTCGAAATTCAGCATGAACAAGCGACCTTAGTGATTAAGGGAGTTGTTGTTATCCTTGAGGTCCCGAGTTCAAGCACTGTGTATGTAGGGGTATGAGCGTTCATTGTCAAATAATTGAAAATCTTTGTATATATACTACCTTGTATTCACCTTAAATTTATAATAAAAAAAACTCAAAATTCACAAGACAACTTCTAATTTGTCTAATATTTAAACTTACAATGACCTAAATTATAATTAAACTAAAAATTTGAGAACACTTACTTATCATTCTTTAGTTCCACCACTACTTGATTAAATATTTAATAAATATTTATATATTTTAAATTTAAATATTTTTTATATGAACTAAAATACTATTAAACCAAAATTATATCGAATTTACAAATTTTAATAGGGGTAGGGGGCCCTTGGGCCCTAACGGAGCTCAGTCCCTGCTTGTTGGAGTCTGGCCTATTTTTTATACTAACTTAGCTTGGTCTGCAGGGAACGACGAATCTATCAATTTCTGGAAAGACAATTGGATTCCTGAAATTAGGCCTCTCAAGGATTATGCTAATCCTGGAATCAACACTGCAGAAGACCTCCTGATTGGTAATTTTATTTCTAGCAATGGCTATTGGAATTGGTCGACTTTGCACCATGCTCTATCCCCAATTGTTGTCCCATATTTCTACTACATTCAGCTCCCCAATCATTCCCGCAGACCAGATTGATGTTATTGGATGGATAGTTCAAAGAGACATTCTCCCCAAAGAGGGCGTATAATCTTATTTGCTTCACTCTTTGGAATGATAATGATCATTGCTGGAAACTTATTTGGAAACTTTCAATTCCTGAAAGAATCCGCCGCTTCCTTTGGCTTACTGTGAAAGAAAAAAATTCTCTCGAATCAAAATAGACGTCGTTGTGGCTTGCTTAGAACCCAAGTTGCACTAGCTGCGATGCTCCGGCTGAAACTACCTTACACATTCTCTGGGATTGCACTCTGGTTCGTAGTCTTTGGTCTTCTTTAACTCAATTCCTAGCTTGTGACGATTTTTTGATCTTCCCTTAGCTGATTGGATCATGACTAATTTAAACTGCTCGAGATACATAACAACTTTTGATTGCCCTTGGCACACCATCTTCTCCTCTATTTCTTGGCAAGCTTGGAAAAGACGCAACATTCAGCTTTTTCAGGGTATGAACATTGAATTACCATCTTTACTTCAAACTAGTCTCACCTGGGCAAAGTTCTATGATGTTGTAAACGATACTTCCACCCAAGTTTTGTCTCCAGCAGTGGAAACAATCCAATGGTTCCCCCTATTAGAGGAGATGTTTGTATTAACACAGATGGCGCTGTTTCTCACTTGTCAAGCTTTGGTTCGACTGGTGGTGGTTTATTCTAGGACTTCGAAGGGAATTTCTTATTGGATTTCAACAAACAGCTAGGCTACTCTTCAGTTATTCAATCTGAGCTCTGGGGGGTGTTTGAAGGGTTGAAATTAGCTTGGGCAAACAGTTTTGAAAGAGTTGTTGTCCGGATGGATAATGAATATGTTTTCAAAATGCTATCTCCCCCCTCTTTTGCAAGCTCGCATAACTTGGTCAGGTTCATTGCTAATCTCTGTAACAACGCTTGGAGCGTCTACTTCCATATTATCCGTTGAGAAGCTACTTATGCAATAGACTACATGGCTAAATACAACGTTGATCATGATCTCTCCTATGTGGTTTTTGATTCTCCTCTTGCTCTCTTGAGACCCATCTTACTTAGGGACTTAAATGGCATCCCCACTTGTGTACAAAGGGTTGATGTACTGGTAATAGCCTCATTTCCAAATTCGAAAAAAAAAAAGATATAGTAGAACTTTAACTCGATAATGTGCTCCTTAAATCTCCACATAAGATCCAGTGAATGAAAACACATTTCGAACGTTAAGCTAACAAACTCAATGACATACAATGCATGCATTCATAACATAAGAATGCCAACAATTTTATTCTGAGAAGCAATATCATTATCACAACATAATCCACAATACACAAGTAGATATCATGATGTAGTCTCGTGTCACAGTTTTGATAATTGACATCCCTCTAGACTACTAACATGGTACATTGAATGAGACTTTAATCATATATACATCAGAAATGTACATTCATTGACCCATAATTATCAAGTACCTTGGGTGAAACCTGAGTCACACATGCAACAAGAACGTACGCTCGACTACTATACCCTTATAGAGTATCTTGGATGAAGTCTAGGTCACATAACATTAGAGCATACATCCAATTAACATCTTAATGTGCCACGACACCATAGTTGGAAAATCTAATTAACTCATCACATAAGATAGACATCTTTAGTGTGCTTACATGTATGATATAAAAGTGAATGAGATCTTTAAAGATGATCAATATGTACATAAAATTAAAAGTATATTAGTTTTATTAATTCGACTATGTGAATATGGTTAATTTACCTTTGTGCCTATACGTTACATACATATATAATAATGTACAATATTATATTTTTTTAAATTAAAATTTAATATTTTATAACTTGTGATATAATTTTTAATTTTTTAATACTCATTTTGTCACATTAAATCTATCTATTATTGACTTATTATTATTATTATTATTATTTTGATTCATTATCATTTAAAATTTATTATTGATAAAAATATAAAAAAAATATTTTGAAAATCTTCAATCAAATAGTTTTTAAATGTATATTTTATAAAATTTAATTGCGTAAAATATTTAAAATAAAAATAGTCAAAGTTTAAAAGTTTTGACTTTAAGAAGTTAAGAAGTAATAAGTAACAGATTTAGTAGGATTGGAGGGAGTGGTATTTTTAGTAATTTAATTTTTATATTTAAATATTTTACATTTAAAATATTTTATTTCATTTTCTAAAAGCGGTTAGATAAGCACTCAAATTATTTTTTTTAAAATTAATTTAACCCTTAAATTTGATTAAAAAAAATCAATTTAACTATTTTATATTGTTATCATCTATCATGCACTATCACATCAATACCATGAATCAAAACATATGCATTATGGTTCATCATGTCATATCATATGCATCATGAACTGTCATATCAACATAGTTAACTATCACATCAACATTGCAACCATCAATGTTCGATTTCATTGGCCAAAAAGCCAAATTAATTTTTTTTCAATTTAAAGGCTACATTAAGCGCAAAAACATGAGGGATCACAATAAGTTTTCGAAGAAGTTTGAGGCATCAGATACTATTAAGTCTATAAAACAAATAAAAAGGAATAGTGGGGAAATTATTGCGACAACCCCTAATTTTCTTACGGTTTTAGTTTTTGGCACAAGACTTTAGAAAATTCTCATTTTAACCCCAAATTCTTAAATATTTACAAATCACCCCTAAGCTCTAAATTCTTTCAATTAAACACTAAACTTTCCTTGAAATTTAATTTTACCCCTCAAGTTTTCAAGAATTTTCAAATTGTCCCCAAAATTTTAAAAATTCGGTTTTCAACTCTGGATTTCTCAAAACTTTCAATTTAGTCCAAATTCTAACTAATCCTAAAAAAATCAAATTTAAAAAATTTACTTCAAACTCCTAGCTCAAAATTTGGGTAGTGACAAACAACGTTAGACTGAAGGACTAACTTGTGTTATGGAATCAAAATTAAAGGGGTAACACACAAAAAATTCAAAAACTAATGTGAAAAATAGCTAAGTTTGTGGACTAAATGAACCTTGATCCTTCATTTTTCATATTTATGAATTTAAAGTGGAAATGATTGAAGAAAAAAGTTGAGAGGCTTCTTGAAGCCCAATTTTAGAACGGCAGAAGTAATGAATTAGATTGAAAACGTTGTTTTTTTCCTTCATAATTTTGTGACGTAATACTATAAGGGAAGGTTTTAAAAAAGTCAACTAATAAATTGAGAATAATTGTTGCCGGTTTTGTTGAATTTCGAGTTATTTCTAGAATACGGGTTGGCAAGTCCTTGCTCTGCGCCTCTGCCCTCCTAAACTCTACTTCGGTTGCTCATGTTTGCAAAAAAGGTAAAATCTGTATATAATCTTCAACTTGTGAAGCATTTTTTGTTGAGTTCTCTAATTATAAAAAATTATAAAATGATCACTGACTTAAAAAAATAACAATTTGATCACATGTTATCTATGTTATCCAAAAATTCCCAAGAATATGAAAAAACCGAAAACAAGGAAAAGGAAATCGGCCAAATTAGACAATACACAAGTTGACATACAACGACAGATCCAAAAATATGCGAGGGTAACAAAATTATTTTTCTCTTTTAGGTGTTGAGCACAAATATAATTTAAGAATGGACATCATCAATTAAACGATCTGACATAAAAAAAAATAGATTTAAGGGTGAACACCGGCCAACGTGAACTACATTTACATCCATGCATCTAATACATCCAAACCATGATATATTACAAATAAACTTCAGTTGGGCCAATTGGTTATTAGAAAATAAGCTTTACCTAGGAATCCTGTTTCTTACAGTATATTCAACCCCGTCAATCTTCTGGAAAACCAAGAAACCTGTTTATGAGTTTGGCCACCGGTGTGGCATCTCCAGGAGAGTATGGAACAAGAGACTTCAAATCCATACTGGCTATAGTTAGGTGAAGTGTCGGAGGGCGAGCACAATATAAATGTTTTCTCTCAGCCAATTCTTCAGCTAGCTCGCTCTGATGATTATCCATCAGATCTTCATTGACAACCACGATTAAAGGTTTGCCAAACCGCATGGTCTCAAATATGCTCCCAGAACCTGCATGATAGATGGAACCAGTTCCTTAAGAGGGTCAGTTTTTGTTTTTTGTTTTTTTTTTTGGGGAAGAATTTTACAATATATACACAACTGTAGCAGTAATACTTGATGACAACCACAGAAATAGCAGTTTCAGAATAATGAAACAAATCTTTAAGCTTATGAATGACTTCGAGAAGTTGTGCCATATCAGATCATGTGTTGCATATAAAAGCTGAGGAAAGTAGTAATAACCTTTTACCAGAGAAAGGTGGATAAAAACAGGGTAAAAAGGATACATATATATATATATATATCAAGAGTTACCTGCATGACTGATCACAAGAGATGCAGATTTCAAATGTTCCACAATGCTTGAAGAAAATGTGAAGTAGTCTACAGCCAAAGATCCATCATCACCAGTAGACTACATTAAAAAAATAACCTTAGGAAAATCGCAAGAATCAGAACAAAAGGAAGAAGAGGACACAATCTTCGGTTCAAAAGAAAAGTGGCATAGACTAATTTGGATATCTAGCATCTTCATCATTAAATGTTTGAGCCAGACAAAGCAACCAGCAAATTAATAACAAAAGTGTGAATTACTTAAAATAGAATCCGGTAGAAGGATTTGACTTAACATAGAACCCTCTTAGAAGATTTTGATACTTTCTATATTTCTTGTTCTTCTTTGAACTCATATCCATAAATTCACATCACATACTTGATCAAAGAAATTACAATAATCGCTTCTTTTTATCCCATCAGAACTTATTGAACATTAGTTCATTACCTCATACAAGTTAAAATGAGGAGCTATTCACTAGTCACTCAGAGTTCTGATATATACCTTCGTAGGAAGATAAGACCCTCGACCCATTTGAATGAGAAGATTAGTGTATCCTCTTCTCAGTAATTCATCCTTAACTTCCTGAGAGTCCACCACTTTAACAAGTGCATCAAAACGTGTTGTTCCCACCGTAACGAAAACCACCCTCTTTCCCTTCACCCCATCCAGGGACTCTCCCATCTAGAATCACCTACAGGTAACACAACATACAAAAAGATGTTGATTGACCTCAATCGTGAATAACCATATTCATATTTTTATTTTAACTCAGCCAAAAACGATAGTATTTATTAAACATCTCAAACGATCAGAGTATAAGCTCCGTCAAAAGAGAGAAAACCCATAGAATACAACTCTTAGACTACACTAGGAAATGGAAACCAACTCTTAACAGTATAAGAGGCAATCCAAAGCAGGAAACAAAAGCAGAAAAAGCCAAATACAACCTCAATGAAGAATAATTAAATTAGAGAACCATGAAATGGCATCACCAGACTAAACTTCACTCCAAACACTATTATATGTAAGTACAGAAATAGAAGTTACTGGAATCCTTTGGAATTCTTCTGATAATTCCCAATGGCATGCATACACAAGCAAATTATAAACCCAGAGCCTGATTCTAACAGTATAGGAAATTATGTCACTAAACACCAGTGAAGATTATTCAAAGCTCAAGACCCTAGTGCTCAAATCTGGAATAGTTGAACTCACTAAAGAACTTGCAGATTGGTTACACCCTCTACCTCGAAGACCGAAATGTGCTGCTGCACCTTTTGGTCCTTACCAATTGCCCTTCTATACACTGAACTCTGCAAAACCCATAATTTTTAATGAACATTCCATATTCGAAGCTAAAAGATACTTCTTTAAAAAACAAAAGACAACAATAAACACCTTATCAGATTAAATTCATTTCCTAAAACATACCCAAATTCTGAAATTAGCCCAAACAATAATTAACCAAATTCAGGCTAAAATCCCAAGCTTCAAGATAAAAATATATACACCACTATAATTAACCAAATTCAGGCTAAAATCCCAAGCTTCAAGATAAAAATATATACACCACTATAATTAACCAAATTCAGGCTAAAATCCCAAGCTTCAAGATAAAAATATACACCGCTATAAATCTCTGCTTAATCATCATATAAAACTCTCCAAAGCCGTATGATTAGGGTATTCTTCTAAATCAGTTTTTTTTATTAATCTGGGTAAGTACAATGCAGTATATGTTAATAGATAACTCTCGACCATTTGAGATTTAACACGCACACTCCTGCCATTCCTGGTGGACCTCAAAGCATACCATGTCAAAAATAAAACTAAACTCTCTCCCATAGATTTCAGAACGAAAGCAACGCCGTCTATCTCTTAGCTCATAGAATCACAGTTGTTATCCTAATTGAAAGGCATTTACAGTGCGTGAGCATATATTATTTCTATTTTTAAAAGACCTTGTTAATTTGCTCTTATGTTCTTTTTCTTTAAATTGGAATTTATCAATTTGGAAAATATTAATATGCAAGTATCAATGCTGTTGAAATCTGTCTGGCGATTGAACAAGCCAGACCCATGGATCAACTGGTTGGCAGTGCAACAGTTTCTGTGTTATAAAATCATTTTTTAAAAAAACAGTAATTTGATGACAAAATCGTTTAAAAGGGGTTAGAAATTCAAGACTGTTCCAAACTAGGAAAATTATAATCAAAGTCGTCCTCTAATCACAAACTAAAACTTCAATTAACATCAACTCACAAAAAAATACGGTTACGATCATCCAATAACATAAATATGACGAATTCATTCCTTTTTAATTAAACATTAAATTCCAATACCCAAAAAGAAATCCTAAATCATAAGAGAAAATATTAATGATCGAAAACAATTTTCGACTATAAACTACAAGATCTCATTAGAGAACCCATAATTCGAAATATTATAAGAAACCAAACAATGAAACTTGAGAAAAGGAGAGGAAGGACCCAACACTGCAAGTAGCAGCAGATGAGCAGCCAAACGAGCAGAAATCAGCAAGATGCAATAACAGTTCAAGGTCAACAGTAATCGGCAACAGCAGGGGAAAGCAGCAAAACGGAACTGGAAACAAACGGCGGCAAAAAAAAAAAAGAAAAGAAATAAAGTAGGGTGGGGGGAAAAGAAATTGGACTGGGTAGAGGCCGTTGGGCTGTACAAAATTGGTTCATCGACATTTCTTTCAATCCGGCCCATTCAAATTATATCATTTCTTACTTTAAAAAATATACTTTATGGAAAGAAAAAAAAAATGATCAAATTATACATAGAATTAATTTTTAGTGTTTATTTTTTTACTCGAAATAAGTATCTAATGTTTTATAGTTACTCTTTTAAGTGTCTGAACTATGACATCCATTAAGAAATCGTTATCTGGGCTATGTCATGTTTATATATTTTTAAAAAAATATATTTAAAAAATATTTTTCAAAAATAATCATTAAAAAACCCTTAATATTTAAGCAGTGTCACCCCACATTGTGAATGCACTCTTCCCCTACCCTTGTAAATTGAAAAAAGTCCTAATATTTTGTGCATTATTATTAGTCATTTCATACTTCCTATAAGTTTTACTCGTTATATCACCATATTATAATTTGTCTAAATGATCAGACATATAAACAAGACAAAAATATTTTGGTCAACGTAGACATGTTTGATCCATGTTACAACATTAATCATAATACCAACAAACTTAAAACCTTTATTCAACCATTAAAATTAAAAATTAATACGTATCATTATATGTCATAAGCACCAACAACATGCCAAGTTCACAAACAGCCCCAAAAGTTCTCACATTGTCTCAAAACAAAACATAATTTAACACACACTAATATATGTTTTCTTATTTGATCACAATCGAATACTTTATCTCTCAAGCCCTAAATAAATAAATAAAAACTATTAACCTGAAAATGATTAACAAATAATTGCAATCTGACAAGGTTCAGTAAATTACTAAACATTCATACAATATATTTATATAAATAAAGATTGAAGGAAAATATACTAACATTAAAAACTTTATTATTTTTATTTTACATTATCATTACTATGTCAAGCCTTAATGTATATCAAATGCGCATAAATATAACAAGAGCTAGAATATAACATACTTGTCATATAATTTGATTAAATTAAAAATCATTTTTACTATTAATTCAAAGCCCGAATTAACTTGGGCTCTATACAATATGATATACAAATATAAAGATATTTTTTCAGTCTAGAACATCAATCTGACATATAGATGAATCAGTAAATAATATGTAATTGGCATACTTACAAAATAACACTTTTACACAAAATAATTTAGTCATATTAAGTTACACAAAATAATCTAATCAGGATGAGTTACATAAAATTTTCAAGCAACAACATATGTAAATATTTAAAACAAGTGAGACACGTACACATCTAAAGAACAAAAATCACAGAGCACATTCATTTCTTTTGCTGCTAGTAGTACCAGATCTAACATGATTAAAACCTACATAAAAAATATATATTATTTTTCAAATCAAAACGAGTAAAATACGATAAAATTCATAAAACGAGTCAAAGTGAAAGTCAACGACTGGAGTAAAAGTTAATGGTTAACGGTTATTGAGTCAATTCGATTAGTTGATTAATTTGAGTGATGGTTCGGTTCAAGTTAGTGGAATAATTCGAGACTATTTGGTTTGGTTTTGACAGCTTACCTTCAACCCGAAGGTTTTGGGCCTCAGTTAGGTATTGCTCCTTAGGCAGGATTAATAAGCCTAAGCATGACAGATGGGTCAGATGCACCTTGAGCTAGTAGGTTGGTTTAGGGGTAGACTTATTAGATGGGCTCTAATTGGGTCTACGAGAGTATTTTAATTGACTGTGTTTTGGGCCAAGTTGTAACGGGTTAGATAAAAAAATTACTATATAGATATTTATGAAACTATTGTGATAAAGATCACCTTAATATACTAGAGGTTTATCCTAGGCTGGTAATTACAATATATGATGCATAATAAAGTTAGGAATATTGTGAATAAGGTAGTCTGATGATTTGAGATAGGCTACACTCTAGACTTCGAGTAAGCATAATGAACTATGTTGATAATATTAAATGTTATAAAAGTAAATGAAACGATGAGTTCATAATATGCTAGTATGCTTATTCTTATAAAATTCATTAAATTATTAGAGTATGCCCCAAGTTGAGTAATGAGATGATTGTAACAATATATTTATTTTGTTTTGTTTATTAATATAAGACATTGTCATTATTATTTCAGTTATTATTTATTATATAAATAATATAAACTGTAATGAAGTCATGGGAATAGTTTGATTATTCTTAAAGTTCTTAATCAAGTATATTGTGAGCTTAAACAATAATAATGCATTAAATCTAATATATAGTTGATTGATGATAAAGTGTCATCATTGATATAGAGATGTCAAAATCAATACATAGGTATGTGTTGGAGAATAACATACTGAACTAACCCGTTATGAGTATATTTATTGGATCATTATGTGAGAGTCACAATATTACTAAAAACTATCATTTTGGGGTTTTAAAGTGTTCTCAAATTTGAAGGATTTGATGTGTTGTTGCAACGGTCCTTCGGGTGTTCTCGGGTTCGTATCTCGACTTGGAATTAATGATGGAGTCACCATCGATCGTTTTTTGAATTAGATAGATCAGACACCTAAGTGTTACAAATTTACTGGATCTGTATCTTACCAGAGAATTTTCAGATTCGGGAATCGATTACAATCGAGGAAGGATGAGCACTATTGAATTGCTCTTTCGGTACCACACGAGTACTCGGTTGTCTTGATTGCGAAATTTGAGATTTAATTAAAATTTTAAAAGTTCAATTTGAGTTACTTACTTTTGATAGTTGATTATTGTAAAATAAAATAAAATTTAAAAAATAAGAAAATATAATATGCATGAATAATGTAAAAAGTCAAAGTATCATGGATAAAAAAATATAAAATATAAATACAAATTTGAACTAAATTAACACGAGAATTAAATAAATAATAAAAGACATGTGAAATCAAATATTAAATATGTCCATCAATGCAAACAAATGAAGAAATATGAATAAATAAAACCTAAAATTAAGCCAAACATATTAATGATAAAAACTAATAAGGGAAACAAGTAATTGAAATATTAATAAAGATGAAAAAATAAGGGAGCAAATTGAAGGATATTAAGAATCTTAATTATAATAAAAATGGAATAAAATTAAAAGGGAATAAGAAATCAATGACGGCATAATTGAAACAAAAAATGGTTAAATTGTGATGTAACTAAAGTTAATGAAATTACTTGAAAAAAAACTAAACAAAAAAAAAGAAAAAAAAAAGAAAAACTAAACAAAAAATGGCCGCATAATTATTGTAGAAAGTGTTAACTAGTTTAGCTTAGCTGTACAGCTTGTTAGTTTGTTAGCTTTTAGTTATTGAGTTAGTTATGGCAGTTACTTTGTGTATAAATAGGACTTATTTGTTGTAAATTGTAAGTTAAGGAATAAAAGATAATTTTACCCAAATATCAAGTCTTACTTTTAACATGGTATCAGTTTAGCTCAAGTGGTTTGTTGGGCCGTTTTCATATCTACTCGTTTTCCTTCAACCCTTATTCTTTCATTTCCGGTTAATTCACATTCGTTGGGCGGTTTCTTACGACTGAATGAATTCCTCTGACACCACCACCACCGTGCTCGATTTTAATCACCCCTTGTTCCTGCATCCGTCTGATACGTCGGGCGGTGTTCTTGTTTCTCACCGCTTGGTCATTGACAACTATAATATCTGGAGTCGTTCTATGAAGATTGCGCTGTTAGCAAAGAACAAGCTAGGTTTTGTTGATGGTTCCTGTTGCAAAGAGGATTATGATGAGTTCTTACATTCTCAGTGGGAACGTTGTAATGTGTTTGTCCTATCCTGGATTCTCAATATGGTGAGCAATGATCTCTTTGCTGGAATTATATTTGTTTCAAGTGTTGCTCATGTCTGGACTGATTTGAAGGGGCGACTCGATAAGGTTGGTGGATTTTGATTTTTTTTTTTTGTATCGGGAAATTGCAACTTTATCTCAAGGTGATTCAACTGTTTCAACTTATTTCACTCGATTAAAGCTGTCATAGGATGAGTATCATGCTTTAGTTCCTTTTTCAACTTGCAATTATGATGCTTCTCAGCAGAACTCTAAGCATCTTGCTCAGCAGAAATTGTTACAATTTCTTATGGGTCTTAACGATAAGTATTCAACAATTCGCAGTCAAGTTTTGCTTATGAAACCTTTGTCGACTGTTAATAAAGAATATTCTATAATTGTGGAAGAAGAAGCACAACGAGTTCATCTATTTGGTGTTTCAGGAGTAATTGCAATGTATTCCAGTGCTTCTGGAAATTCTGATCGAAGGCATTTTAATGGAGTTTGTGAGTTCTGCAAGATAAAGGGTCATAAGCGTGAAAGTTGTTATCGCTTAAATGGTTTTCCTCCTGATTTCAAATTCACTAAGAAGAAGGGTCCTCAGGCTGCTCTTGTTACCAACACCTCATTGCCTGATTCTGATCGTGAATCATGTTCTGGTGATTCTAATAATACTCATGATGCTCTAGTTTTCACAACAACTCAGTATAATCAGATTCTAGAGCTTTTGAATAAACCTCCCTCGGTTGATACAACAGTCAACTTAGCAGGTATTTGGATCTAATTTTTCACCTAATCACTCTGATTATGTTCGTTTGATACTTAATACAGGTGCTACTGATCATATGGTGTCTGAAATCCATTGTTTGCAATCTCTTACTTCATGTGATTCTGGTTCTCGTTGTGTTCATTTACCTAATGGTAAAATTGTCCCTATTACACACACTGGTAGTTTCTGTTTTGATTCAACTGATGTTATTCCCAATGTGTTGTTTGTACCTAACTTTCATCATAATCTTTTATCAGTATCAAAACTACTAAAGACCTAAATTACAACATTGTCTTCTATCCTCATTTTTGCATTTTGCAGTATCTCTTCACTGGGAAGATGAGGGGGATTGGTAGGAAGTCTCA